GGGATTCGGGTCTTGCCTCCCCCAGAAGAAAAAAAATGGTTCAAAAATCATAAACGACTTGCTACGAAGGTATAGAGAGATATTATATTAATTGACAGAGTGATTTTTTTTTTTTATTATAAACTAGTAATTATCTCGAAAGATTTTTAAGAATTTGATTTCTATTTTTTTAAACTTTTGTAGAATCGTTTAAGCTTTATTTTAAAACCATTTTTAATTTTTTACCCTTACTTCATATACCTTAAATAAGAGTATACTTTTGTTTTTCATATAGGACTCTCCCATTTTGAGCATAGATTCGAATAGAGTATATATTTCTAGGAATATTGATATGCATAACATTAATATCAGTTTCATCGTTTATGAGTTATAATTGTTAAAAGTTTAGACTGGAGAAGTAGAAAGTTTTACGGGTGCAGCCATTTTTGTAGGTTGGAAGTTGGGAAGTAGGATACAGAAGGAAATTTAATGTACATCTGTAAGCAACGATAGTCCATTGGTGACGAAAAAACGATTCTGAACAGAGTTCAATTGAGAGTGATGCTTTATCAATAATATATATATATATATATATATAAGTCATATTGTAGTAAAATAATTAAATAAGCATTATGTATTATTTTCTTTAATATTTGTTTAGTATTGGTCCAATTTTTCCGTTTTTCCTACGTTTTGCGTGGTTTTCTCATGTTTTTTTTCTTCAATTTTTCACATTTATTGAGAAAACTCTTGAGAATATCGAAAAATAACCGCTTTACAGTATCTCCCCAGTCAGATTTTCCTTAAGAAAGTGTTATTATTGTAAATCGGAGCAAAATCGCCGGTAGAAAAGTTGTCCACAGAAAATAAAAATCGTAATATTTTACTACTATATTTCGTACATTCTCGTTTTTTTTTTTCGTTTTTCACATTTGATAAGAAAACTCTTGAGAAAATCAAAATATGACCTGCTTAAAGTACCACCATTAGAAAATTTCCTTTCAGAAAAGGATCTACATTATATACATCGGAGCAAGGTTTCTAGAATTTTTGTACAATATAAAAAATGAAGAAGAAATAAGCATCTTTGTAAAACCAATTAATTTGTTGCTACACTCAGAATCTAAAATGGTTTTAAAATAAAGCTTAAACAATTGTACAAAGATTAAAAAAAATATCAATCAAACTCGATAAAAATCTTCCGAGATAATTACTGGTTCATGATAAAAAAATCACCCTTTTTTTAGAAAAACTTTAAAACATTTTTTAAAAATACGCCACTAGTTACATTTGACTTTTAATTAATTGTTAGTTATTTAAACGTTTCACAATACCACAATATAGATATCTAAATGAATTAATAATAATAATAAGAATTTATTCAGCTCAAATAGTTATAAATACAATTTCAAATTAAAATTATACTACCATAATATGGGTTGATTACCTCTCTCTTTAAGCAAGCTTGTGGCTAGAAGAGAGAAGAGAAAGAAGAAGATTTGATTATTTACCTATAGGTACATTTATTATATTATGCTTTAATGTTATAATATGAAAATATATGAATATTAGCTCAAGAAAGTGTTAGCTCGAGAAAGTGGAGGGAATTAGTGATGCCTTATATACATAAATTATGTTGGTTATATTATAATCAGTACGCACAATATTATCAATTTGAGGTCATAAAATCAACATTATATTATGCTCAAGTATTTAACATGGAAATTAAAAGTGAAGAGATTGAGCTTGAGTCAGAAATGGATACTGAAAAACCTCCGAGTCCTTCTGAAATGAAGGAGGGCCTACGATTTTTACGAAGAATAGTGCAATATAACTCGTCACATTTTTGAACAGTAACAATAATTTGTACAGTTTTTTTTTTTAATACCTATGTCTGTGTTTTTTAGCAATTCAGCTGGAATCTCATGTACTCTATAGGCTTTATTTTTTTTTTTATTTGATAATTATTTATATTTAAAACTAATAAAAAAAATCTAAAAATAATTCCATTTGTTTATTTGTAAATACATATGTGTTTTAATTAAGTTAACCTTATTTTGTGTGAGTAAAAATTTTAAATTATTTTGAAAATTTTACCACGTTTAAAAATTTAAATATAAGTTTTAGTCAAAATTACAGCAAAAAATAAAGTTTAAAATTATAAAAGTATTATTTTTATACATTTTCCTGTTTTACACGTTTTTTTTTAAGTTGTCCTCAATTATTTAAATAACTACACGATATATATAAAAAACTTTTTTATTCACAAATAAGATTAAAAATTAAACAAAAAAGCTCTCTTGTCGTTTATCTAATATTTTGGTAGAAATCATAGTTTGCAAAAATTAAAACAATGAAATCGGTAAAGCCATGTTGCACGGGAAG